ATTGACCAAAAGCTCTCTCTGGAATAATATTTGCTTGTTCAGTGGAATATAGGCATTTGTGTTGCTGATTTCTTTCTGTCAGATACTCCTTCAACATTGACACAATCGTAGTACCCATCTTTTATTTACCAAGGTGCCCACTCTTCCCTTCAGTGTTACTGTCTCTTAGCAGGTCATCAAGTCAGGGGAACAATCAAGAGATGATTCTATTATCCTCTAGAATTATTTTCTAGTGTCTCTATTAAAACAATGTTTAAGTAACTTATTTTGATCTGCATTGGTATTGGTTAAATCTCATTGCGACATAAATAATACAGCAAGATTTCATTACAGTGCAAGTTATTTGCTAGCCCTTTGGTCCCATTATAATGAGATTAGAAAAAGAGTATGTTAATGCTGAAGAATTTACATTGATTAGAGCATATAGGTTAAATAAATCTCTCTTAAATATTGAGAAATGGGGAAGAGGTGATAATAAAACAAAAATGAGATATTTGGAATCATTTTAAAAATATATTTTCTACTCTGGAAAATCTTATTTTTCCTAAGTACGCAGATGAGTCTCTTCCCCTGGAGAAGCCACCTGTGGATATGACACACATTTCCTTTATACAGAACCTTATTTTGAACCTTATGCAGACTTACACACTCATGCAGGTGCTCAGTAATTGTTTGTTGCATGGAGTAGACTGATTAGTAAGGCTTTAGCTCTGTATTGGCTTAGGGCGGGGCTTCTGCTCATCTCAGCACTACTGACGTTTGGGGCCAGATAATTCTTTGCTGTTGGGGCGGCCCTGTACCTTATACAGAAATCCTCACATTTCCTTTATACAGAACCTTATTTTTCACAGATGCTGAGAAGTAGAGTTTCTTGCTCCATCCTGGAGTCCATCTTTCCCCCAAACCCAAGGAGATATTTGGAGTCTGTCTTAGACAAAGGTCAGGGTTGGCTTCCCCGGTTTTGCAGGTGGTTTGTGTCCTCTCTCCTGAACTAAGTGCAGTTGTAAATGCTTGCTCTTTGCGGGATCTTTCCAATAATAGCTAAGACCGAATGAGCTGCAGAAGCACAGTGTTTTTCACATGATGCCCATTCTGCTGAAACTGACATAGATAGAGGATGGTATGTACCCACATATATACTTGCTCATCTGTCTTGTAAGTGTTCGTGTTCACATCTTCCCCAGTGGCAATATTTTTTCTCTGGCAGCACTTCCTTCCACCCCACAAAGAGAGTTGTGTTATTTGTAGAATCACCAGCTCTATAGATACCTGTCACCAGGGCAGTGCCCCAGGAGCTAGGTCACACATTATCTTTGAGGGGTGTTAACATTTGTTATGGTGTGGTTTGCATCAGTCTCCTACTGGCCAGGCCTAAAAGATAGACACAGTCAATAGATTCAATGTCCTTGTCCTTCTTTCTAATCACTGAACCAGAATGGTACACAGATGCTCCACTTATCCTCACTTGTTCCAAGTATTATTTCACCTGCCTATGGATGTGAGTTATTTTACTCCTTATGTTTTTTCCAAGTTCTTCTATCAACTCTTTCCTCCCAGTGCCAACTACTCCTCTGGAGCCAACTTTTATTTCCCTGTTCTGCATAAAACCAGCACTTTTATACATTAACTGAAGTACTATCCTGTCCTCATCTAAGAGACTAGGAAAGGGATGGGGGCTGGGGGGTAGTGAGTTGCATGCTTGGATCTTTGGAGAACCAGGTATTCCCCAACATTTATCATTAAGCCTCCTCTGTATGATCTCAAATGTCATTACTGTGGAGGTACAGAATAAAGTTTTCCAAACCATAATCCTTCAAGCCTATGTTAACAGAGGCTGCGGTTGGCTATGCAGTTGTAAGTGGTTGTTGTTACAGATCTGTGTTCTACCAGTTATTCATTTGCATTTTGCAAGAAAAATAACTTAACCTGTTACTATATATTAAGTCAGTATAACATGGGATTTGTAGAAATCAAGTTTCCAGTCTTAGATTTTTACCTTCAAGGGAAGCATCCTGCACATGTGGAACATAGTAACTATATCCCAGTTAATTCCTCCACTACAAAAATAAGATGCTTCTGATCTGTGAATTTCTCAAGAGGCAAAGGATGGTCCCTCCCAACAATTTGCAAATGGCTCAGAAGTTGGGCACAGAGAAGTAGCATTTCTTGTATATTCTCTGCCAATCTGAAATGAGGTGAAGGAAGGGATTCATCTTCTCAAGAACACAGGAACACTGTGTTCTGGTCTGTTATGCTTCTTGGAAACAGGTGGATCAGCTTGCTTTAAATCAGCTTTAAATTGACACTAAAATAATGCTTCATCATCACCCTGGTCCTACGGGGGAAAAACATAAATCAGAGAAACAGCTGGGCTTGAAACTTGGGTCCCATGAGGCTTTTCTCAATGATCACAAACTCTAGTTTCCTAGCAAGTTAACAATTGGATTGATTAAGTATTTTAATGGGTCCGTCTAGTGAAAGAACAACTATAAAATTGAAACACTTGGAACCAGCTAGGTAAAGAAACATGAGATGGTAGAAATAATGGATTTGGTCATGCACTGAGTAATTTACAACAGTACGCTTTTTGTGTTTATGAGGGAAAAAATACCATTGGGTTTGATTTAGCTGCCTGGCTGTTTATGATTTACTTGGGTCAGTTGCAGTGTGTTCTGTGTTCATATGCCTGTTTTTAAATGTTTTACATCGTTATTATAAGAGATTTTTAAATGCAGTGAAATTTCAAGCCAGAAAATTCTTAGAAAACTAATGAAATAGAGAAAAAATTGGGAGAGCGGTAAATAAGACAGTTTTGAAACGGTTTATTTGGCAAAACTTGAAGGGTGAAAGCAAATGTATTAGGCCTGCCCAAATAAGATGAGTGGCAAAGTTTTATCTCCCTTGAGACTCAATAAACCTGTAGTGCTCCAGCTGATGTTGGAAGCACACCCAAGTCTGGGAGGGGAAGCCTGCTAAACCAAAAGTGAGTTAGTGTTGTTTCTTACCCCCATAAAAGCCTCTTCTTTCTGAAAACAAACCTAATACTTCATTTGTTTTTAGTAAAACAATGAAAATTAATACTTGATCAACAGTCAGAAAATGTACATATGCATGTGTTCCGCCTACTTTCATTTAACGATGCAAGTCTCCCAGACTTGGCTTTTTGCTAGGTACTGGGTCTATCAGCCAGATTTTTAGAAAGCTAAAAAGTATATTCTTGATTTTTAGTAGGCATAACATGAGCAAGTACAAAGTTCAAAAGTATAAAGGGGTACCCAGTGGAAACCAAGTGCCCTTCCTGTTCCTGTCCTACAGAGCTGGCTTCTCTCCCCAGGATAATCACGCTGACCCTCTTCCTGTTCTCTCTCCAGAGAGAACTCTCTACATACTTATATGTGTGTTATGTATTTATGCACGTGATGGCATGCTGTATATATTATTAAACACTCCCTCTTTTCATTTAGCAATAAAATGTGACAGATGGCTCATATTAGTACATATGGAGCTGCCTCACCCTTTTTTACCAAGTGGATATATTATAATTTATTTGACCAATTCCCTGTTGACAGCCATTAAGGTGGTTTTCAATGTTTGCTACATAAAGAATGCTTAACAGAGTGTTCTACATTCATCATTTTACATTTCTGGGAGTCTATAGGATATATTTTTCTGGAAGTGAAATTGTGGGTCAGTGGAGGTGTGCCTTTTAGATAATGCCACACTCTTCTCCATAAAACTTAGACCCATTTCCTCCCACTGACAGTGTCTGAGAGGGCTTCTCTTGGCATATATTGTATTGGGAAATTTGTTTGTCTACGCTAATCAAAAAGGCTTAAAAATAATATTAAGAGTGAAAGTGAGCATCTTTTCATGTTTCAAGAGTTGTTTGTATTCATTTTTCTGTGAACACTTGTTTAAATCCTGTTTCCATTTTTCTGTTTAGTTGTGGCTCTGTGTGTATATATAGGAAAATTAGACATTTTTCTGTATTGCAAATTGTAACTACTGCTTTTCAGTTTATCATTTGTCCTTGGACTTGCTAATAGCATTTTTTATGGCTTTTAATATATTTTTTGTATTCAAATATATCAATATTTTCCTTTGTGGCTCCTAGATTTGTATTGCATTATAAGGGGCTTCTGTTTCCTTAAAAAGAAATCTACCACGGCTTCTTGTCGTTTTACTGCTTTTTTTTTCTTTTTCTTTTTTTAGTTGGAAGTATTGCTCCATTTGGGATTTATATCTGTCTCAGGTGTGAGATAGAGATTTAACTTTCCTTTTTCTTAGCTGCCTGTCCAGATGTCCCTACTCTACTGGTTGAATGGGCGATCTTTTCCACACTGGCTCAAAATCCACCTTTATCATATGTTAAATTCTCTTATGTATTTTGGTTTATTTGCATTGATCTCCCTGTTTGTTCATGTGTTAGTACTAAGCAAGTTTTTTAAATTGTTGTAGCTTTATATAAGATCTTAAAATCTAAATAGCAACTTTGTCTCTCTAAACACTCTTCCTTTTTAGAATTTTCCCGGCTACTCTCGCTTATTCTTTTTTCCAAATGAACTTTAGTATCAGTTTTTCTGGTACAAAAACAAAATCCTGTCTTCCAAATGAACTTTAGTATCAGTTTTTCTGGTACAAAAACAAAATCCTGTCGGTAATCTTACTGAGATCGTATTAAATTCATGGTTTAACTTTGAATTTGCCTCTTTATGAAGCTAAACATAATAAGCCTTTCCCTGCTCAAATCTTTCCTGTTTCTTGATAGTGTTTTCAGTTTCCTTATGTGGAAATTACAGCCTTCTTATGAAGTTTATTCCTAAGCATTTTATTATATTTGTTGCTACAACAGATGGAATCGTTTCTTCCTCGATGTCCTCTAGCTAGCATTGTTTGTATGTAAAGTCGGCCAATTTCTACACATTAATTTCGACTGTACCACTGGGTCATACTCTCTTCCTATGTATAATTTTTCCATGGAATTGTTTTGTGTTTTCCAGGTAAATGAATGTGTCATCTACAAGTAATGATCATTTTACTTATTGAAAGCTATTTTATTCTCATTTTCCCTTTACTGAAGTAGCTTCATGACTTTTGGGCAGTATACCCAAGCATTCTCTCTGGCAAGAAGGAGGGGGTTTTCTGAGATGTCAGAACCATGTCTCCCATATGACCAACAAGAACCCTGCTACTGCTTATACTTAATTCTACCTGTGCTTTTACTGTGATTTTGTTTGGTTAGTCCCTTACTTACTGAAAGAAATTATAGTAATTCATTTCTCATATTTGTTTAGTAGTAAAGAAGATGGAATAAGACGTGGTCATGGCTTCAGTAATTTAAACTTTGATTTTATTGGTGTCCTTACAAATTCTGTTTAACACTCAAAGAGAAGAAAAAATGTTTAAGTTGCCAAAGTTTAAAATTACCCAGTTAAAAATATATGGAGTGTTATTTTAATACTGAGCATGTTCTACTGTGGTCTCATTATTTGAAAATTGGCAATCTTGTGAGGAACCAAATTGTTTCTTTTCTTTATAACTTCAGTCATGGCGGTCTCCAGTGTCAGAATGCTCGTAAGTCTCATCTGTATGGACATTACCTGTTCACTAGCAGGCATACAAGGCACTTCAGATTCCCGCTTGCGAGATGATTGATCATCTTAGTTCAATTGTAGTTAAATTTAACATAGGGTGGGGAAAAGTCATGTAAGAAGTTATAGATAGAATCTTAGCTCAGAAACCAGTTTTTGTGCAGCCCTTGGCAAATCATTTAACTTCTCTACTTTGAAATTTTCAATTTTTGATTGTAAATATTATTAATTAGCATTTAATATTAACATATTTATTTTTTTAAATATTTTATTTATTTGAGAGAGAGAGAATGAGCAGGGGGGAGGGGCAGAGGGAGAGGGAGAAGCAGACTCCCTGCTGAGCAGGGAGCCCGACGTAGGATCATGACCTGAACTCAAGGCAGATGCTTAACCAACTGAGCACCCCTAATATTAGCAAAACTATTAATATTAAATAGTCAACTTCTTATATCTATAATCATACTGTTACAGGAACACAGGGCTCTTGTCTCACGGAGTCGAAGAATGAATCTCATGGACAAAGGAGAGTGAGCAAAGTGATAGAGTTTTATTAAGCAAAGATACAGAAAAAGCTTTCTAGAGTGAGAGGGGTCATGAATGGGTTGCCACTGAGGGCTTTTAGTGGCAGTCTTTTATTGAGAACTGACTGGGAAGCTTGTGGTCTTGAGTTTCTTGTTGTGCCATCTTGATTTGAGCATGGACTATTGATAACACCCTTAATGACTTAATTCTTTGAGGTTTGGCCATTTTCTATGATTACACTGTAACTGCCAAAGAAAAATATTCCCTAACATTCAGGACCAGGTGCTCTGTTCCTTATCTCTTGTTCACTCTGGCTTCTGCCTGCCAGGAATAGTTACAGAGCCCAACCAGGGGCCCCCTATCTCTCCCTGTCTATACCTTAACCCTTTCCTTATTCAATCCTCTATAGTTATTATTATGAATCCTCACTAAACAGCCCTTTATAGTTGGTATTATTACTCACTATGGTTATTCTGATCCCAATAAGGCATTTTAGCTGTGGAAACTGGGTAGGTTGCGTGATTTCTCCCATGCTCCTTCAGCAGATTGAAGGAGCAGCTGGGATAGAACCCACAACATTAGGTTTTTCATAAGCTGCTGCCTCTAGCATACAACAAATCCATCAGACTACCTCCCCACAGTTTGTCTACCACCTTCTCAGAAAGTGAAGGATTAACACTTACCTCTTGCAAAAGTCATTGTAAATGGGAAATGTTAAATAATATAAGTCAAGTAGATCTGGCAATAAGACACTGGCATCAAAAAGCTCTGTGAAGGCTTATAAAATATTTTAATTAAGTGACTCTATTTGAAATAATATTCAAAGGGGGCAATGACCACAATTTCCTTTAAATTATATATACCACATCTTTTTCTTTCCTCTAATCTAGCATTTGACTAGATTAAAGACTAGATAAAATGTGTAAGACTGGGAACAAGTCCGTTGCAGAAAGGGCCAATAAAAGGAAAAAGCCACAATGATAGAAGTCAGTAAGAGCATGATGAATCTATGCACTTACTAAATTCTTGTTTATCTGCAGCTGACATAATTTAAGTGATCCTACATAACCAACAGTTGTTATTCTACCAGACATCAGATAGATGACAGGCAAAATATCCACCAACACTTTAAAACATGGAGTAGGAATCCAGGAAATAAAGAGCGATATGAAACTACACATAGTAAAGATTTGGGAGAGTAAAAGGGAGTGAATTTTAGAAACAGCAAAAACGAGCGTACTCACCCACAAATGGGCTAACCCGACACTGACAGCCTGGAAAGATCCAGGCTTGTCTTGGCGTTATGACTCATTTTGAAAAGACCAGATGAAGTTGGGTTTCATTGGATCGGTGAGGACTATGGGGTGAGGGATGGGAAAGTGAATCCCCTATCTGAATTTAGAGATCCCTCCAAGAAGAGGCAAAAGTACACTCTTCTCAACCAAGGAGCAGTGGCTTGTAAAGTATATGCCTGTCACATTTTACCTGGAAGATCAATGCTGTAGATATCCAGTGGATGCTTAGCTAAGTATTCTGAAATGTTCTGGAATGTCATTTTTTTCAGAATTTTGTCTCATTTTGTGGCCACCAGAGCCAAACCAGAATCCTTGTTTTCTAATGCCCTCCATGTTGCTGTGTATGTATGAATGTAAGTATGATCACCCTGAGGAAGAGAGGTGGTATTGATGGGCATACATGAGTAAGCAGGGAAAAGAAAAGAAGCTGCTTGGAAGAGAGAAATAGAAATTATTTTTAAACACCCTCTGTGACTATTTAAATGTGGGAGGCGTACTGAACTTTATTTTCAAGTATGTGACCTTTTCACAATCATAAACTGCATACTGGAATGTGCTAGAATGTGCAGTAGTTTTAATTAGCCACCCTGTTGTGTAAAACCAACAACCAAACTGAATATGAGGGTTTTTTTTTTTAAATACCCATTGATTTGAGTAATTAGAAAAAAGGAATCATTGTAAGCAACATTCTTCAGCTGAGTTTATCCTGGCCTTTTGAATTTTAACTAGAGTAGGGGGGGGAAAAAAACGTAAATTACACTATCTGGTTACAATTTATTAGTTTAGAAAAATGAATATGGCCAGCCCTAATTAATTAGCAGAGGCACTATTTATGTGATGGCATCTTTCAGCTTGCTCACCTTAGAGGGGAAAAGATAGGTGGTTTGTGTTATTTTGTTTCTGTGGGGTTTAGCAAGGCAGTATCCTGGAATATATTAGCAAATAACAATGACAGATTCATTTTGTATTTTGTGCCCTGAAAAGCCATTTATGTAAATGTAAATGCTGTATTTGTAATATAAAAATAGCTGGAAATTGCCATCTCCTGAGTGTTTGAGAGAGATGGCAAGAGAGGGGAAATTAGGAACCCCCAACTGCATTGGGATTATTAACTCTTTAAAAAAAATGCATGGTAATGCCCTCATTTCATGGAATTCCAATTGATGGCCATCCAGTCTTCAAAATAAATAATTACAGTAGTCGTGAACACTGCAAAAGAGTACAGTCCCAGATAAGAAACCATAAGAGACTCTTAATCTTAGGAAACAAACTGAGGGTTGCTGAAAGGGAGAGGGGTGGAGGGGACGGGGTAACTGGGTGATAGACACTGGGGAAGCAATGTGTTGAAATGAGCACTGGGTGTTATATAAGACTGATGAATCACAGACCTCTACCCGTGAAACAAATAATACATTATTATATGTTAATTAATTGAATTTAAATTTAAAAAATATTTAAAAAAAGAAATAAGGAGGAACTTGCAAGAGAATTGTAACAATGATCAATTTTGTATAAATGAGAAATCGACAGTTTGTCATTGTACATCTGTGGTATGCAAAAATACCAATACAATAAAAAATAGAAATAGAAACTATTAAAATGTTGATTTATGGATAACTTTTCAGAGATATGTCTTTTGCATAAAGTGGGGTACATTTATTTTTAATCTCAATGTGACTTTTTCCAGTATAGGAAATACGAAATATTATCATATTTTTAAAACAAGAATAGCAGACTTATAAAAAGTGCGGTCACTATGTATTTGCATTGACATTGTGCAGAAATGGAAAGCACATTGGGTTCAAATCACGTCTGCCCCTTTTAAACTTGGGCAAGTTTCTTAACTTCTCTGAGCCTCAGTTTTTACCTGGGAAGTAAGGGATAATCATACTCCCCAATGTGACTGAGGACCAGTGAGATGATGTGGGAGAGGTGTAGCCCAGCACTAGGCAAATAGTTTTTTATCCTTTTATATGAAAATGGCTTTCAGTTAAAATTACTTTAAACACTTCTTCCAAGCACTGTTAATAGATTACAGCCCCCCTCCCCTCCCATTTTTAAGTATTTCCCACAATATCTTTCATGATGCTTGGCAAAAAGTGGTACTTAATAAATGCTTGTAAGCGAGTTGAGTCATTTAATCCTAATTAATTTACTTTCTCCTCTTTTGAAGTATATGTGAAGTAGAGGCTAAGTTTTTCTGTAGGAAAACAGCTGTTTCCCATGCCATCAGCCTACATTTTCCACTGGAATCATCCGCATGCTATCAAAAGAAAAATTAAGCTGACATTTTATGTAGATTTTTCCTTTCTTTTCCATTTGAGGTTTAAGGACTATAAAAAAAAATAAGAGCTTTCTTTTATCTTTCTGCAAATCTTGAATCAGTGCACTCAAATGCAAAGACCATTTTCTACTTTTCTCATTTTTTCCAGTTTTTATTGTCATCCCTGAAGCTAATCAGAGCACCTGTTCCAGTGTATCCTCTGCCACAGAAGCCACAAAAGTGATTTCTTTTAGACTCTTAGTACTGCCACACCTTTACCGGGAACCTGGGAAGGAATAGGACAGTGCCCAGGGAGTGACCTTACCTTCCTGGAGTCTTGGCCACCCCCAGGCTCA